GATTGACATAATAACAATCACTTCGGTTTCTAGACGGATGACCCTTTGGTATAAGAAGGGAATCAAAATTTTGAGTTACTGTAACTATAGGAGAGAGATTATCATATACACTAAATATAGGATTTCCGATACGGTTATAAAATTGCGTATGAAAATAGTTGACAATACGTTGACGAACATGAGATAAAGGATGATATGAAGTAATGTGTAAATTTCTTCCCAATTTGGAAAAAATGTTTTCACCGATATTTGTCCAGTTATCTTTTGGAAAAATGTCACCTAATAATATTATTGCATTGCTTTTTACAGCTTGACTTGTTGTACAAAAGGTTCTACCAAATAATATTTTTTTACTATAACGCCCAAAGTATTTCATCATGCACCTGTAAAAATATATTTTAATCATTATTTATAAAAGTATTTAAATAGTTAAAGCAATATAATACATTTGTAATAAATAACCTAACCGTTGCAGAATCATTATGACATGATATTAAACTCTAAATATTTTAGATTGGCGGAATTGTATTATTTTTCAATATAATTCATAGAAATTGGTACGTACACTAATTTATAACGAAAACTATTCTGCTTTCAAAAATTTAAGGACAATTTACAATATTAATATTTATTGAAGCGTGAGTTTTGTATTTTCCAAAGGAAAGCATTAAACTAACTCACTGAAGCATGAAACCTTCTTTTGATGCCATTATTGATTATAAAAATGTATTACTCAGAAATGTAATAATGAGTAAGTAGCAAAAAACAAATTTAAAGTAAAATGAGGAATCAATGCGTAAAATACAATGCATTTTAATTTGAGATATTCTGGATTAGAGTACATATATATACCACTATACACGTGAGATATCTATCTATGATGTATTTGATCTATGATGTATCGTAAATGATGGCTAGTAGTCGGAAGGTTATTTTGAGTCTCTATCGAAATCTAATTCGAGAAAGCAAAAAATGGAATTCATACAATTATCGGCAAGTAAAAATTATTAAGTTAATTATTATTGATTATAATTTTGCAATTGGACATACTAAAATTAATCAAACTCTAATTATTTTAAAAAATTGTTAACGACAGAATAAAAGATATTATTTTCACAAATGTTATTAACGTTTAAGTTATAAATTATATCCTTATTTGTTTTGTAAGAATCTAATCTTATACTTATTATAGGATGTATGCTTTACGTAAAATTCGACATGAGTTTCAACAGAACAAGACTATACAGGATAAAGAGAAGATCAATGAATGTTATAATAGAGGATTGGAAAGTCTTCAAATTATTAAGAGACAAGTAACAATTGGAAATCTTTATAGTACTAGGCCATTAATTATTGAAGCTATTGAAAATAAAGCTAATTTGAATTAACAAGAAAAATATAAAATTTATATTAAGATAGTGTATGTAAGTATATTCCTAGTAAATAGGGGGAGCGACAAAGTTTTAAAACTTGAATGATTAAAAATTAAATTAATGTAATTACAGTTAGTTACATACATTTAAGATTTATGTATCAATGTTACAAGTGTATTGACCTGTATGTAATGGACAGTCTGTCCAAAACATTCTACTAAGATAATTTAATAAAAAAATATGTATTATTGATATCACAAAATGTTTTTTATGTAATCAATGATAAATAATTGCAAGTAATTACTCTTAACGAAAACATACACAGAACCATGCTAAATTTTGCAAATTTAACGTAAGTTAGTTTAGAGGAATGTTGCGTGAATAGATCGATATTTTATAACAGAATAGGCACGCGTATAGTATACCGGATAATATTTTGCACGAATCTTTTTATTATTCGAATTTTCGAGCAAATATGTGATATATGTATATGTTATATACAAGGTGTTATATACATAAATATCTTATTTATTGTTGTATGTTGCACGAAAATATTTCTTAGGACAAGGTTACGTTATTTGAAGGGCTACATGTATCAGCTTTTGCTCATGATTATCTTTTTTACGGGATTTTGAGACCATCAGTATTTTTTTAAATAGGGCTCTATATTTATTATCTGATACCTTTGTAGAAAGTGAAAAACAAATTCGACGATCTTTATAATTATACCATTCCCAACATTTAATCTTAAGATATTTACGTTTGAAGTATATAATACGTATATATATGTATTACATATTTAATTATATCAAATCGACAGGTGGCAAAATTAAAAAATGCAAATTTTTCGACAGCTAAGCAGTATTTTTTAACTTATGAGGGCTAAAATAAAGGTTTTAGCAAAATATATACTGAAGACTTGTTTAATAATTTTAATTGATAAACTATTTCAATTGTTTCGCGATGACAGATGGAGCATATTGAAAAGGTAGAGTTGCTCTACGTAAAAAGGAGTGTGACAAGTAGCGAACTGTTATAAATCATTTAGCGAATTAATAAAGAGTTTGATCAAAATGGCCATGCGAAATTTAACAGAACCATTCATTTTAATGCGAAATAATGCTTTACAAAGCAAGCACATATATGCCGAACAAGTATGATATACATAACCTATAATTTACGAAAAATCGGCGACATTAATCTTTTCATGGGAAATTTAGAGGTTAAATAATGGGATACAACATTTTAGAATTTGTCTGACCGAATGGCACTAGTGGCTTCGGATTCTGGTACCTCGGACAACGTCGAATTAAAAAATGTTAATTTGGAAAGTAACGCACCACCTGTATGGACAGATGCCTTGGAGGAGACTCAATATATTTTAAGTAGATTGCGTGTCAAAATAGACAGCTTAGTAGAGTTACATGCTAAACAATTAACTAGGCCAACATTAGACGATACATCACAGGTTTGTCATTAACCACAATGATCGTTATGCTAAAACTAAAGTATTCATATACTTTTGCCAGAAGATTAAACAATCCTTCTGATTTATTTTGATTACTTAATTATTAGAGAGCAAATCGTTAAAAACATGTCTACAGGAAGAGAGACAAATGGAACAACTGACACGTGAAATAGGACGTGCATTTTCTAGCGGTTATCATCAAGTACAAACAATAAAAACTGCAGCAAGGCATGCTACTGGATCTGTGGAACGTCAATTAGCCATAAGCGCGGTAATGGCACTTTCAACAGCTTTACAAGAGCTGGGTCTACGATACAGATCAGCTCAGAATCACTATTTAACACGTATGATTTATAGACATGTCTGATTTTCCTGTAGGCTGGGTACACGAAGAAAAAAATGTTTGACTGTGCTTAATTATTTTAGAGGTAAAGTCAAGAGAAGAGAGGAGTAACCAATTTTTTACAGAAGATCAGTCAATATTTTTAAATAATGCTGCAGCAGACACATGGTTAATGGAGTCAAACGAAACAAATTCAGATTCTTGGGATAATAGAGAACAACAACAACAAGATTCTGTACTTTTACAATTGGAGGATCCTGAAGATAGAATGAAATTAGCCGCAGAAAGAGAAGAACAGATTGGCAACATAGTTCAAAGTATAGCAGATCTCAGGCATATATTCAAAGTAAGTGGTTCTGAAGATTGACATATTGGATGAGTTTATGAACAATATTAAAATTACTGTATAAAATAATAAATAAAAAACTGTTCTTGAATAGGATTTAGCAAGTATGGTGCAGGATCAAGGTACCATTTTGGATAGGATCGATTATAATATTGAACAGACACAGGTACAAGTACAGGAGGGTTACAAACAACTGAGAAAGGCAGACTCTTATCAAAGAGCCAATAAAAAATTGTATTGTATAGTCGTGCTTGCAGGCGCCATTATTCTAGTCAGTTTTCTTTTTGTTGTATTTAAAACATGAAATTTCTATTTCAATTTGCACGATTGCATTTTAGTATATAATTTGTTATTAATTATTTTTGTAAAAAATGAAAAACATGCTTACATAATGTATAATTTGGGCAAAAAATATTTTTCGATAAAATACTTTGGGAAATTTCTGATACAACGTAAACAGGAAAGTAACGTGGAATATAATTAAGCAGATACATATTTTATTTTTGTGACCGTATCAATTATTCTTTTCATTTCATGCTCGAAATCATTCCATAGTGTTGACCTATTTCCGGATATTTATTCTGTATTGTTTATTGTATACATCATTACATGTGACGGGGGTCTTAAGACTTATATATAATATAAATGTAAATATTAATAATCATAATTTTTAATTATATTTTGAATTTAAATTAACTGTAACATATATTTGCGTTGAGATTACAGCTGTAAATTTTTAATAAAACAAAGAGTAGCTGAAACAAACGGAAATCAAATGTGTTCACAAATAAAATGAACCGTAAAAAGGCATGATAAATGTCGATCGGCAGATTGTCGCCTTTTAGCTGATTGACAATTTTAGTAGTCTAGTCTGGCCTGATGTAGTATAGTATACAAGAGAAAAAGAAATATGAAAGGTGAACTTACTCTTGTGTGTGTAGTGTATTGCAGTTGTTTCCTTTCCTTTTTTAAAATAAATGAATATTTTATCGAACGTATGCTATGATTATTATATTATTTAACATTGACTTAAATATCATAAATAAATATTTTTTGATATAGTTTAATAGACATTAAGATAAATAATAACATTAGTTAACAATATTGAATTTTCATTCTTATGAATACTAAATAAATTTTCCTCGAATATTGCACTTTTTTTATCACAGACTGAGCGGTACATATTTTATATCTATATTATTTATATCTATTATTAGTTTATTATTTTATATCTATATCGTTTATATATCTATGTCTATTTATCTATGTATATACATATATATAGACTGAATTTTTAAAAAAATATTACTGTTACGAGAGTTTGAACGATTTTCTTGCTTGCACGTACTTGTATACTTATAAAGATAATTATACATATAAATTATAGTATCTGCATATTCTTCGTTTGTTTCACACGGTATGTGCGTACTCGTGAATGTATGCAAACATGTGTTACATAAACTCCGAGTGTGGTATAATTATTTATTCAGTTCTACAAAAATCTTACGTTATACAAATTAGAAACGATTCGTTAACCAAGGAACAATAGAAATTCGTAAAATACGCTTTCTTCTGAGATTTATTATGTTGAAGAAAATTCAACCTATGGAATAGTACCTACCTATGACGAAGTAGTTTAACGTTCAATATGTGATTCGCAATACTGCAATTCTGTAATAAAAAGTTTATTCTAATAAATGGAATGCACTAAATGCTGATGTTAAAGTCGTATGAATTTTATTGTATCATCTGTATGATCGGATTTGTTTTCCTTGGTCAAGATTCATGATAAAAACCTTAATATACTTGTATAAGCAGTTTCGTGTAGATTTTGTTAAAAGTACGCACGCATTTTGAAAAACTAAGGGACAAATTTGCATCGAACGATAAACAATTTGGATATCATTTACGCGTAAAAGAGTTTACGTTTACTTTGTTTTTATACACGGTGGTAGAAAGGTACATCAGCTGAATAGAGAAAAACGTTCCTGGATAAGTATAATACAGAATGTACGAATAAAAAACGCGTGCGGTTTGTGTATGATTCTGCGGAGACTCAGAATCGATCGAACATGAGTTAAGAGGCTTGTGCGACTACACATTACTCAAGTGAAAGACGGAGACGAGGTATTTAGAATGTGAACTAAAATTGCAAACGCTCCACCGAGTATGTAACGTACGAAATTATCACCGACTAAAGGACCTAAAGCGTAAAGTCCAGATCTCGGGGCTTTGATTACTTCATAAGTAAAATCGTCAACCTCGATAGGATTCGATTTACCATCTATGGGTTTCTCGAAATATTTACCAAGCCCGATACCGTCAGCTTTGAGATAGGACAAATCAGGCTTGTAACCTGTGAACGAACGAATTTTCTTAGCTGAAAATCTTTAACAAGCGAAAGCGAAACGAAAGTATGATTTGGTTTTGCTTTGTACGGATTTGATACATACCGATAAGGATGGCTACGGCAGAGACACGAAAAGCGTGTGCGCATCCGTCTGGGTCGACAAGCGTAACCATCGGATGTTTTTCGAATCCGGCACCATCGATGAAATCAGTATCATTTGCAGTAAGTCCGAGCAACGTGTACCCCGGTAATGCTTTGTATAGAGGATAATTAGTACCACCATCAGCCATCATCTCGTATACCTTGTGATATTCGGGATACATCGAGCTGGGTAGACCTTGCAATCTATCATAGATAGTGCGTATTTTCTCGTCGTTTGATTTATTCCATTCGTTGGACGAGTCACGAAATGCGTGCAAGACGGGAATGCCATGAAAACGAACGGCCATGATTGCATCGGCAGCACTTAGTCCAGAACCGATCACTAATACCGGATCAATTGGTTGCCGTCGTTCCTCTACTTCTAAAATTGAATCGACCATCGAGTTTTTCCATAATCTAATTCCAAGTAATTTTAGCAAAGCTTAAGCTGCTTCGAGAGAAAAGGAAAGAAGCATTTCGCGTACCATGTTGCTGATGACTAATCAAATGATCCAATCTTGATTCCAGCTTGTTTAGATCGTGCGTTACCCAATCAAGTTGAGAATCTTCACCGGCTATACCCAATTGATTTGATAAATCGGTCGTGCCTGTGGCAAGAACGACTCTTTTGCAGCGATAGCGAAACGGTTTCCCTGTTTGTTTATCGAAACCATCGACTATCCATCCGTAACGATCTTGTTGTTGTTGTTGTTGTTGTTGTTGTTGTTGTTGTTGTTGTTGTTGTTGTGGATGATGATGATAACGAGAATCGCAGCACAGTCTCACTGAAGTAACTACAGTCTCGCTAAAAAGTAAACGTCCATGTGATTAGCAGTTACAAGATGCGACACAACTCGCGAGCATTGCAACTACGATAAATTACTGTGCGAACCAACCATCGAAAGTATTGCTCCAACTTTTTTCTCCGTACGTAATCTTTGTAATAGGCAGCTACTGTACCGACAGAAATTCTGCTAGCCGTTTTACATGCACTCGGTTTCTCTTGAAAGGCATAGTACATGCACGACGGTTTACCCTCTGTCGAATTTGCTTTTTGAAGTTCTTCGGACTCGACCAACATCTCCCATTGTCTTATGTCTAAATCGGGCAACGACATCCATCGGTTCAAGCTGATGGTCAACACGTTTGGATCCATCGACTAACACACAATTAATTCATCAATTCTAAATTGAACCTTGAAGCACGTTTAACTTGTGTAATGATAAACGTTCTCGCCTGTCGAACGATATTCGTGACGTATTCGTAAACTCTATCGATTCGAATAAATTGGTTAGGTGGAAGATTTGTGACTGCCGAACCGAAGGAAATACGTAGCAAGGGAACAAAGAAACCGAGAACAGATCAACAATATCGTTGATCGTTTCTTTACCGGCGGTATCGCCAACATCGGGGTATATCGTCAGATTTCTTTGTCATCACCGCGGTACGCGGTTCAACTAACCGTAAGCCCGTTACCCGATAAAACATGTCCCACGTTCGTTACCTGCCATGAACCACCAGGTTGACCTTTACCGAGCACAATGTGATCGATCACTTTATGCTCAGGATGTTGCTCGACCGATTTCCAGGTAAGCAGAGACGGCACATCAAGGCCAGCATCGACACAAGGATGTTGAAGTTGGTCCATAAGAAGAGCCAAAGGCCGACCACCGGTTCTACCTTCCAGTCCGGAAGAAAGACATTCCAATTTGCAACGCGTACTGCTCGCCAAGCCCCTTCCACCGCCGTTCCCCTGACATTTTCTCAACTTGGTATTCTCACTCTCGTGCCATCGATGGCATCTCGGTTCATTGCCTAATTGTTGTTGTTCTTGACTCGTCTTATCGCAACATTCCTCGTCATCATTTCCGGACCTCGTGCTCGAGTGTAATCTGGCTGTGAGCATTTCATCGGCGGGATGTGGTTCACCGGTATAATAAGGCCAATTTCCAGCAAGCATGAAAGAAAGGCATATTCCACTAGGTCCGTTTCCTGAACAAAACATACACACCACCCTGTGTATAGAATACAGACAATACCGATTCTTTTATCCTTTCGCACTGCTTTTTCGCGATACTTCGGCGCGTATTATCACGGGAAAAACGGCCGTTACCGTGTGTTTCCACCTGAAATCGTGTGCTACGATC